GAGCGACAACTAATATGGAATGGAGGGAGTATGTGTTTGCATAGCTAGGGCCTATGCTCCTGAGTTGCAAATTTCTTCACGAACTACATTCTTATTACACTCTCTATTTAACTTGTAAGGAGTATTCTCCTGGAACCCTGTTCTCTTGTCCTGTATAGCAAATACTTACTGCTGTTAACGGAAAAGGTAAAAACTATATGAAGTGTGAAAAAAGGGGAAACAAAGATTTAACCTAATCTTAGCCTCTCTCGTGAGACATAACTTCAAATTCTTAACTAAGTTATCTATCTAAGCATTAACTGCTGCAGCATTCTTTACCATCAGTTTACATTTTGCTTAGAGAAGCAATATTGGGCAGGAGATAGCTCCCGAGATTCCATTTTTTCTACTGTCAGATTATTTCCTTCCTGAGATGGAACTAACAATTTGATAGTTAGCTTACATGTCTTTTTGTTCTGACTGATCTCCTTCAGGGTTCTTTGCAAGTTCTTCATGCATGGTGCTTGCTTGAAAGGAGAGTATTGTGAGTTCTCCCACGACTGGAGTGACCAAGCAAATAATGTAACGTGTTAAAAACTATGGATGCGGATCTAGTTTCGTTGCCAGACTTCACAATGCATATCTTGTTGTGTTCCTTACTATGATGCTTGTTTGTGCAGGTTTGCACGTTTTACCAGAGAGGCTCATGCTCTTATGGTAACCGTTGCAGATATGACCATGTCAAGGTTTCTCGTAACAACCCAGTGCCTCCACTACCATCATCAAGTACCGCAACACGTAATTCCCCACTTCGCCCGCCACCATCATCAAGTACTGCGACACATGTTGCATCTACATCTCCACAACTTTTAAGTTCTGGACGTCCTCTTCACTTGGGACACCAAACAAATTCAAGCAACCAACGGCAACAGATATCTATGGATAAGCTGGCAGTTTCTGAAAGTAAGCCTGCATGGAGGAATGAGGTCCAACTTAACAGTGTATCAGAGGATGGGATTGGCTGGTCATCCATTCAAACTGCGCAAAACCAAACTTCCATGAAACTTGCTGATATGCCAATTTGTTCTTTTGCTGCTGGTGGTAACTGCCCGTATGGGGAAGAGTGTCCTCACATGCATGGGGATTTGTGTGCGTTCTGTGGGAAAATGTGCTTGCATCCTTATCGTCCTGATGAGAGGCAGGAGCATATCAAGCTATGTGAAAAGAACCACAAGCGTCTTGAGGCTTTGAAACGTAGCCAAGAAATAGAATGCAGTGTCTGCTTGGACCGTGTGCTCTCAAAGTCTACTGCTGCAGAAAGGAAATTTGGACTATTATCTGAATGTGATCATCCCTTCTGTATTTCATGCATAAGAAATTGGCGTGGCAACTCTCCTACATCTGGTATGGATGTGAACTCAGCACTGAGAGCTTGCCCAATATGCCGCAAACTTTCGTACTATGTCATTCCAAGTGTTCTTTGGTACTTCTCGAAAGAGGAAAAGTTGGAGATCACTGAAAACTACAAAGCAAAGCTCAAGTAAGATAGGCTTGTCCTGTTTTGTGGTCTTGTGCCCCAGCTTTATATAAGTAAAACTAGAATGCTACAAATATTTCAGTCATTGAACTTATCCTTACTTGGATGAATGAGCCGTATCAATTTACTAGAAATGGCACTTCTAATTATTTTGCCTCACATGTTCTTATTTCCTTTTCTTTGAATATTCAAGCCGATATGTTTCATGGAAGTGATTTAACATGAACATACTATGCTCCTTAGTACTTGATTATCATTCTACTGTCTGACCTACAAGTATACCATTGCAGGTCAATAGATTGCAAGTACTTCGATTTCGGAACGGGCACTTGCCCCTTCGGGACAAGCTGTTTCTACAAGGTGACATACTTCTTACATTCTATAAACATGTGAATACACATCTGCCTGCCCTATCCATATAGTTTGAGTTCACTACCAGGCCAGCTCCATCCCAGCGCTGTTGGCAGTAACTTGTTTATTCGGAACACTGGTAGCTAATAATGACCCTCTCCTCCGTCTGTTGGTCTACTGGAAACAGCCCAATTTACTTTGTTTTGATTCCAAGAGTCTTTTGTGTCCTCTCTAGTATTATCATCAGTTACAGTTATGCACTCCTCAGTTACCACTGCTTAATAGTCCTTGTTAGTTATTTGGTGGATAAAGATTGGAATGTGTAGACCAAGGTTGGAGTTTATGTTATGTTCAAGTTTGCATGTGTTTTAGGGGATATGATATTTGATTTCTTGCCGATTATTTTCCTAGATGGCTTCATTTATTGTAGAAACTGTGGATATGATTGTTGTAGCTTGCAATGTTAATTGATCGGTCTTTCCTCTTATTTGTCTTCTATTTTTGACTCAATCTTGTATCGTTTATGTTTTGCAGCATGCTTACAGAGATGGCCGCTTGGAAGAAGTCGTATTGCGACATCTTGATTGTGATGATGGAAGTACACTTATTGCTAAGAACATTAGGTGTGTGTTCTCTATCTGTTTATGCAGTCTGCATATTTTACTTCTCCTTATTTTTCTCCTGTATTGCTGTCACATTCTAGGTTGTCAGACTTCCTCGGCCGGTTGCATCTTTAGGGACCTGCTTCATATATATCGAATGTAAGTTCTTTTGGGGGGTATGCAACCAACTCAATTATACTATTTTGGTGAAGTCGCGTGCAAGTAATGCCCATTTTCCATCGTTAATGTCATTTATTTGCTGTTGTGGGAGATAGTCATGCTGCTGTTCCACTGTTGGAAAAGGCAACGCTTGAGCGCTAGGCAATGACCAAAAGCCTTGCCTAGGGCATAAGCGAAACTCTAGCCATGGCAAGTAAGAAATTGTCCACTCAAGTGAAAAATCATGTCATACTGCACTGACGGACCAAATTGGCCATCTTCCAATTGCAATAGCTGGTAGTTTACTCACATATATTCTCCATTGATATCGTTACACATATAATATCCCAAATACAACATGGTAGTCAAAATTGTACGTCTGCCTAAGGTTGCGCCTAGGGTGCTTAAGCACCACCTAGGCGCTAGGCGAAGGTCAACTGCCTTGCTTAGGCCTAGCGCTTTTTCCAACCTTCCACTGATCAATTTCAGTGCTTGTAGTTATGTTCGTATTTCCACTGGCTGAATTGATTTTATCGAACTTGTGCAATCACGACGCCTGACATTTACTAACAGCACTGCATCCATTCTTCTCTTATTTTTTGGTGTTTTATTCCTACCAAACTACTCTTTTAATCAGTTGATAATGTGAACTGGAAAATTTGCATCCAGGCATCAATCATTCTGAGATTTCGCTGTCTACCAACTATTTGCAGTATTCCGAAGACATCAGTTTAAATCGAGGCATCTTGGAAAACTGCTGCTTTATCTCCAATTTTTTTGGTGGTTGCTTTGTCGCCAAACATACAAAGGCAATCCTTTTGTGCTGAAAAAGCTATCATTCCTGTCTCATGCATAAACTCTTACATAACCATTTGTGCCTAACTTCAGCACTGCTCGTTAATGCAGAAAATTCGAAGTTCGCTGCCGGACGCCTGGATGACCTTGTAGCGCTATTGACCAGTGAAACAATGGAAAAGAAGTTATGCTGCGAGTATGCTTGAAAAGTGAAAAAAATTACAATAATTAGAACTGCTGAAACGCCTTTCCGTATGCACTTTGTGTTGCTTCCTGGGTGGTCACCAGTGATTCGGTAGAACGTTACCTGGCCATTGTGCGAACGACCGGTGTGTAATACTCATTTCCAAACTGCCATTCCCCTGTTGAGGAAGGCTACCGCACCAACAACTGGTGAACTGAGACCGTTTGGTTGTATAACGTGTACGCTGGAGGAAAAAGGAAAAGAATTCAAAGAATCGCTTTATACTTGATTGTATGAAGTTTGTTTGGTCAGATGCTTGCCCATGAAATATGATTGAATTTGATCGTGTTTTAAGCTCATGATATAAGACTGATAATTTCATCAGTTCCACAACATATTTTTGTAACGTGAATTCTGCATTTTCTTCTGCGATACAACGGATCTTGGACCATATGCTCCTGATTTTAGTCGTGGAACAAAAAATGTCCATTGTCATCATACAACGTCCTCCTGAATGTTGTGTAACGCCTACCAATGACATCCCAAACAAGGATGGTTTCTGGAAAATCATTGTGGCTACCCTTCACCAACAGAGCAAACACTCTGCTCTGTAGTGCTGCAACTTAACGGAACCACAAAACAGGTTTTACTGGATGCTGGCCTATGTTTCTTATTACGTATTTGACAAACCGTTCGATTAACTAATAAGTAACAACTCATAAAAATGGCCCATAACCTTCACCATAGAGCTCAGTATAATGCATGTGCACCTATTATTGGTTGTTACATTTCCTTCAGCGGTTCACTTCAACTACATCTGGTTGGAATTTTTCATTCTAGAAACATTGCAAATTTTGAAGGATAATCAAATTATCAATTGGGAAAATGAAACATCTAAAAGCAAAAGAGTATATATATGTCAGTTAACTTGGCATCGATAAGTGTGCCAAACAAGTCTATGAAACACAATTAACTCAGAAATACACCATTCATATTTTTGTCTAGATTTGGTCAGGCCGGTGAACAATAAATTAGAGCATTACTGAAAAACTGACTAAATATAAGTGATCCAATCAGTGTTGGATCTCAATAAGTACATAGTACTTCCTCCGTTCTAAAATAGACGACCCAACTTTATAAGTACATAGTACTCCAACTATAACAAGTAGCCGACCCAAGATGAGTTCAAGTAAAGATAAACCAGTCAATATCTGAATATTGGTATCCGGACTATATATCCTAAACACTAAACATCAGAACAATTTATTGCGGGCCAACTGATACAACTAACTGAAGAGAAAATAGTATATGAAAGATGCCGAGAGCGTAAATATATTGAGTATTAAACTGAGAGCATTTCACATGTAGTTACAGAGAAATTTACAGACATATTTTACATTGACAATGGAAGAAGCATTCTTTGCTTACTTTTCTTGTGCTTCCTCTCTTCCTTGGTTAATCTCATGCACAAATATAGAAGTGCAGAAATACATGTAAAGGATAAAGCTATCCCTATGGACCTGAAATAAAAAGCAATACACGCGAACACTAGTAGAGCATACAAAGCAAGTTCCCATATCACGAGGAACACCTCAACCCTGCAGCAACCAACATAAAATAGTTGTGCGAGTCGGGATGCGAGCAATAATTTTTAACTGTAGTGCAAATAAGGAGAGACATGAAAATAATCCCTTCCTAAGAAGAGAACTTCTAACAATCCTGAATATTCATGCTGTCGTATGTCAAAAGAAACTTGTAAATATAGAACAAGTTGGTATGCCCGTTGTTTATTTTGCTTTCATTGTTATGGAACAACTGTGATATAGTGCTTTCGCACTAAACATAGCAATCAGGGCTTGTTTACATGAGGTGTCCCTCTTGAGATTTAGCTTACAATAATCATTTTGCTTGGTTCATTTATACAGCAGTCAATGAAAAGCAAAACTGCCATCTTGTTTAGCCTGTAATCCTGAGAACAGAAGCAATTGGGCAGGTAACAATCCAACACTAGCTACAACAAGATGAAGAACTATGGCTGTTACTCCCTTTGTTAACCTTATACCTAGCTAACAGCATAATGGTCGATTTGTCCTGTATGATCACTTAAATTCATCTTAACTTGGCAATATCGAAACATAATACTCAGGCTTGTGAGAAGAAACGGAATGGCTTAGGGTTGGCGCTTGCTTACCACGAGGAGCCGGCCGTGGAGGTGGAGGTGGAGGTGGAGGAGAAGAAGGATGCGGCTGCCCAGGCGTGCCTGGATCGCGCCTGATACTCCTTGACCTGCTCCGCCATGGGGTGCTGCTGCTCGGCGTCAATTCCTCGCGCCATCCCCCTTCTGGATTCCGACGCCCAACGGCGACGGCGACGGAGTTGGTCCGGGTCGAAGAGGTTTTTTTTTTTTTGGAGAAATGGGTCGAAGAGGAAATGGGGGGAATCGATCGCCTCTGCTGCTTTGGGCCAAGCACGTTCGGCTTTGGGCCACCACGGCATCAGCAATTTTTACAGCTTTTACGGCTTCTTTCGGTTTATTAAGATATGCGCCGTGCTTTTATGGCTGGCCCATGGGCACGGATTTTTGCAAATCCTATTTGGCGCTGCAGGCGCCCGTTAATGTGTATTTTGCAAACGGGCGCCTGCAGCGCCCCGCGCTGGGCCGGCCCATGTAGGAGTTTTTTCTTCTGTGGTTTTAATCCGCCAAAAAAGAGTGCGCTCGCGGAGACTCGAACCAACAACCACTCTCTTCAGTACATACTGGTGCAACCACCCCGTCAATCACTCGAATGTGGTTAATTAAAACCTTTCTTTCCCCTTATTCTTTCCGTTCTGTTTCTTTTTATTTTATTTTATTTTGTTTTGCTTTTCCCTTTTTGTTTTCTATTTTTTTTGTTTTCTTCTTCCAGGGACAATAAATTATCTTGCACATACATGAACTTTTTCGTCAAATCGATGAACTTATTTTAAAATTAGATGAACCTTTTCAAATTCAATGAACTTTTTTTCAAATTGATGAACTATTTTTTCAAATATTTGTGTAGTTTTTTAAACCCATTAACTATTTTTTTCATTTTTCTGATGAACTATTTTCAAATTGGTGAACTTTTTTTCAAATCCGCTGGATTTTTTCAAAATCGATGAACTTTTTTTCGGATTCGATGAACCTTTTCTAATTATGATGAACTTTTCTCAAATTCGATGAACTTTTTCCAATTATGATGAACTTTTCTCAAATTTGATGAACTTTTTTCTGATTCGATGAACTTTCTTTAAATTCAATGAACTCTTTTCCAAATTCAATGAACTTTTATCAAATTTGATGAACTTCTTTTCAAATTCAATGATTTATTTTCAATTATTTTGAACTTTTTTCAAATCCGATGAACTTCTTTTCGAATTTGTGTTCTTTTTCAAAAATTCATCAAATCTGAAAAAAATCATCGACAAATGAAAAAAGTTCATCGATTCGAAAAGAGTTCACGAATATGAAAAAAAATCATCAAGTAAGGAAGAACAAAAAACCAGAAAACTAAAAATGAAGTAAAGGAAAAAGGAAAGAAGGCAAAGGAAGGAAAGAAGGGAAAGGAAGGAAAGAAGGTAAAGGAAAGAAGGGAAAGAAGGTAAAGGAAAGAAGGGAAATAATATAAAGATGAAACAAAGTTATAGTTCAAACCCGCTCAAGGGGCCGAGCGCTTAGCGCAACGTAGCACAAAACGTGAGGTCGCAGGTTTGATACATTCGCTGGCTCTAACTTTTCCCTTAATTCCCTTTTGCGCGCGCGCCCGTATTAGGCCAGCCCAAGAGCGCAGCTGCGTGGGCGCCAAAACTCCTAGTTGGCGCTGAAGGCGCTGACTAGGAGCTCCCCGAATTTTTGTCAAGGCACGAGCCCGACACGGCACGGGCACAAAATGGTTCGGCCGGCCTTTGGCCCACCAAGGAACAAGTCCGATCCTTTTATCTATGGCCTGTCATGTGGCTGAAATCGGTCCTTTTAGCACTGTTTGGGGCTGTTTAGCCTTTTTTTACCTACAAGCAAAAGGTTCGCATTACTCCGGAAGGCCGAACCTTTTGTTTTTCTTTTCTAAAAAAAGCAAAAAGTCCGGCAGGCCGAAAGGGCCCAGAAAACTGAAAATCAACTCGAGATGGCCCGTAGCCATATCATACCGGGCCGACCTTTTTAGCTCGCGTACTAGGTCAAATGTAGCGACCAGACCTCAAATGGTCAAGTCTCTATGCATTAGTGTCATCCCTGGATCGGTAATTCTAATACACACAATACTCGAGGAATTATAACAGAGTTTCAATCACACGCTTATTACATCGAGTCCTCATAAAGAGTATGATTACAAAAATATCATGGCTGAAGGCCATCTAAACTAGATAACCGCGGAAGCTTCAAAGGTAAATGAGTCCATCAACTCCAACGGCATAGCTGAGTGCAAAACAACGACCTATCACACCTTATTCGTCGTATGAGTAGTCTGCAACATAAGACGTTGCAACCCGAAATAGGTCAGCACATGGAATATGCTGGCAGACACTATAAAGCAATTAAATGCAAGAACTATATCTACAAGTAATATTTGGCTGGTGGAGGCTGTAAGTTTCATAGTTTTGCATAAAGCTAATTTTTCCTTACAACAAAGGAATAAATTTATTTAACTACTCCCATGTTGCCCATTATTTGAGAAGGTAACCCCAACTCAAATCCCAATTAAAAGTATCATCATTAACCCAATTCAATTAATTAAAGTAACGTGATGAGATCACATCGATAGATTCAAGTACTAGATACTCAAGAAGTCCATAACCGGGGACACGGCTAACCATGATTAGTTTATACACGCTGTAGAGGTTTGCACACTTTTCCCCACAAGACTCGACCGCATCCATGATCGGATGATCGAGACATAGCCTTTCTGAAGCATTAACTCTCTACTCTGGGTAGACAGTACCACCTACAACCCTCTACATCTGCTAGTCTACCTCTTTAAGAGCTCACATAACTTACTCAACTATGTCAGAGCCCATAATGGCTTGTGGCTGCACACGGAAGTTTCTAGCATGAATAATCTTATGATCCCTTTGAGCCTGGGTGGCATTCCATAGGATAATCACACGGGTACCCCGGGATTTCCAAAAACAGACAACACTGGGTTCCCCAGGTGCCTCAACCAATCCACCCAGATGTATATTAAAGTTGCCACCTTAATGTTATCCATAATTAAATAACTCTCAAACTTCCATGTGTGAATCACGATCCAATCCCCGTCTACGAGCATGGCTAAGCAATAATAAGCATAACGTATATTCCCAGGGTGGTCAAAAGGTATTAGGTTCCTACCTCAAGTACTACAACCAAAACCACATGTTCCCAATCCTACTAATGCAAATATGTTGAGGGGCAATACTAATGCATTGTAAAAACTGGGTATAAAGAAGTATGATCAAAGTGTAACTTGCCTTGTTGACGATCTGCAAACTCTAGAGATTCGTAGTAACAAGCTTCGCACTCCGGAAAATCTAGCATAGACAAACAATAGCATACATAAGCAATCACTCAATCGAAACACGAGAGAAACCGAGAAAAGATCCAAATCAAACACGAAACAAGCAAACAACTTAGACTAACAAGAGTCAAAACCTAACAGTATATTAACATGTGAATTAGATCTTAATAGTAGGTACATGTGATTTAGCTAATATTTGCAAAAAGATTCAACTCAAACAGAGCAACGAAACTCAAAATACGAACGAAACAAGATCGTTTACTAATCTAGACTAAAGTCAAATTTTGCACTAGCAAAATCATATTCAAGTTAGTTAACCAGAAAGAACAGAACGATACGAAGATTTTGGCGCTGGTTTCACCTAATTTGGATAAACGAGTAAAAAGTTATGCTAGTTTAAAGATCAGGGGCTAAATCGCGATAAAAATAATCGCGGATAAGTCCCTGGCCGAAAATAAACTAAAAAGAAAAAGACTAACGAACGAACGTTCGCTATCTGAACTAATCTGACGAAAACGTCGTTAAATGAACGAACGGACGAACGGCCGCTAATTAAGTAAACCGAACAAAACCGATCTAAAAACCGTAATATAAAAAAACGGGAAATAAAAAATAACCGAAGAACCAACGGTTCTTACCGGTTTTCAGAGAAAAACCGGCGGCTCGGCGGCGGATCAGCGGTGTCGGGCAGCTGCGGGGCGACGATGAGGGGCTGCGCGGGCGGCGGCAAGCGGCGGCAGCGGCTGCGGTGAGCGGCGACGCTGCTGCTGCTTGCGGCGGCGGGAGGAGGCGGCGCGGCAGGGTTGGGAGGCAGCAGGGGTGGCGCGCTATTTAAAGGCCCCGAGGGCGGGGCGGCTTGGAGGAGGGGGCGACCTCGGGACGGAGTCCCGGTCGGCGACGGCGGCGCGTCCATGTCCCGGCCGGACTCGGCGGGCGACAGAGGCGGTGGCGCGAGCGGGCCGGCCTGGCTCGGCTGGGCCTTCGGCCCCGTCGGGCGACGAACATTTTTTTTAAAATTAATTTCGCCTGAAAGAAAAGATCCTAAGAAAATATAAAAAAATTCTAAAAATGCCAAAAGAATTTTGGCTGTCTAAATAAAATATTTAGAACAAAGTGAACATTTTTCTGGCCTAAAAATGCAAATTTTCAAAAAATGCATATTTTTCTAATTCAAATAAAATAGCAAATAAAATGCAAATAAAACCATAATCTGATTTTAAAATTCTTTCTCCAATATTTCTCTTAATTTGAAGAAGTCATATTATCTTCTCTCATTTATTTTTAATATTGGAATAATTGGAGATAAAAATAATAAAATCAAAATGATCCTTTCTTCAAATTTGAAATAAATTCAAATATGACTTTTGTGAAACCTCCAACTCTCTCCTTGGGTCCTTGAGTTGCTTAAGATTTCTAAGATCACAACAAAATGCAAGAATAAATATGACATGCATATGATGATCTATGTATAACATCCAAATTGAAAATTGGGATGTTACAAATCTACCCCCCTTAAGATGAATCTCGCCCTCGAGATTCGGGTTGGTCAGCAAAAAGGTTTGGGTGGTCTCTACGAAGATCTTCTTTTCGCTCCCAGGTGGCTTCCTCCTCGGTATGGTGGCTCCACTGAACTTTGCAAAACTTGATAACCTTGCTGCGAGTAACTCGACTTGAAAACTCGAGAATCTTGACTGGCTTCTCTTCGTAGGTCAAATCACTCTCTAACTGAATCGCTTCCAGTGGCACAGTATCTCTCAGAGGAATGCACTACAAAAAAAATACACTCCCGTGATGATACGTGTTTGTCATAGTAGGTCGCGTTTT